TATTTACCTACTTGCAATTTCTTGCTTTCGAACTGCTAGGTTGGCAGGAGCTGGAACTAGAGACGGGAGCTCACTCCATCATGCGGCACACTCGGGTCTCGAACTGCTGAGCTACCGACCTTCCACAGCCTGCAGTTCAGCGTCTTGACCACTTGAGCCACCGCAGCTCCTTATTTTACATTTAAGGTAAAGGTAAAGGTTTCCCTTGCTCGAAAGCCAGTCGAGTCCGACTCTAGGGTTGCGGTGCTCATCTCCGTTTCAAAGCCGAAGAGCCAGCGCTGTCCGAAGACGTTTCCGTGGTCATGTGGCCGGCATGACTAAACACCGAGGCGCACGGAACGCTGTTACCTTCCCACCGAAGTGGTCCCTATTTATCTACTTGCAATTTCTTGCTTTCGAACTGCTAGGTTGGCAGGAATTTACATTTAGCAGGCCACTAATTGTCCCCTTTTTATATTTCAGTGGGGGTAAACAGCCCATCTCTTCACATGAATGGTGACTGCATTTGGGGCAACACCATTCACGCCACTATTGGGTGTGACCTCACTCAGGGGGTGAGACGCTGGGGGCCTGGCTTGCTCTCCCCTCCCCCCTCCAGATAATTTCTGGCTGTGGGCTGAACTGAGAACTGCAGCAGTCCTTAGAGGTTTCAGCAAAAGGGTGTGCGCACAAGGATTGCCTGCTAGAACCCGTGCGCCTTCCAAGCATGAACTCAAATTCTCACCTCCTCCCTGGCCAAGGACAGGGAATCCACCGCCTCTCGCACTGGGCCACCTTCCCCGGATCTTAGGGTGTGACTGGGCAAACAACAGTCACCCAGGGGTGAGAGAAATACACTCCGTGCCCACGCAGGAGCACACGCTCTGACAAATACGCACCTGCTCATGCGTGACAGGGATCAGGCGCTGTTTGGACAGTTCCCGCAAAGTGTTCAGGTCGGTGCGCATGTCCAGTTTGCATCCCACCAGAACCACTTTGGCACTGGGGCAGAACTCCTGGGTCTCCCCCTGCCACTGCACAAGTAAAGCAAAGCAAAGGAAAGGTTAAGGCCCCCGGGGAGGCAAAGGGGCCTGTTCAACCAGCCAGCCCTCCCTCTCTCCCTCCCTGGGCCTTGCGGGACGCCTCTCTTTCTCCAGCACCCCTGCTCTTCAGGCAGCAACAGAGGACCGCGGGGAATGGCCCAACTGATCTGAGGCTGGACCCCCCAAGTCAGCAGCCGCGCAGGAAGCCCGTCTCCCCGGCCAGATCAGCAGGCCCTACCTGGCAGCCCCGGGCAGATAAAAACAAGACTCTGCTCTTTACAAAATGTGCTCATAAGCTAAAGTCTCCACTGCATCCTTTCAACCATAGGCTATTTTAAAAGACCCTTGTACAGAGCCTACTTGCACAGGCTAATAATAATAATAATCCTGAATGTGCAGAGATCGGCACGCGTTACTCAGTGATGAAAACGCCGCTTCTTGTACGTGCTCAGAGCCGCCGCTGCCGCTGCCACTGCCACTGCCACTGCGAGTGTTTCAGGGTTTTGCCATCAGTGCAGCCGAACTGCAGGAACCGGTCCTGGCCACATCGTTCTGTCACCTGAGATTTCTGGTTCTGTCTCTGCTGCAGCCTTCCCAGCAAAAGCTCGACCCACAAGGGAATCCCTGCCCTCTGAGAAGGGGCCGATCGGCATTTCCCCTCCTGCCCGCGACTCACAGAAGCAGGATAAAGTATGCAAATGAGCACATGCAGGAAAGTCTGCCCGGTCCGCAGCCCCTCTCCCAGCACGGACTGTCAAGCACCTTGCTGGTTCCGGTGAGCCCTGGCTCTGGAGCAGTGTGTGTGTGTGGGGGGGGGGGGGAACCTACTTGCTCAAAGTGCCACAGGGGACTCCCCCCCCCCTTCCTGGCATTCCACCTCTTCGTCTGACGCTCCTGGGAACCAGCATCCTGTTCCTTCTCGCATCCAGGCGGCAGCAAGAAAGCAGGATGGCCTCTGGTCTCTCCCCTACCCCCATCTCAGCCCAGCGGCCGGGGGCAAAGCCTGCCCAAGTCTCCCCCCAAGGCTAAAGCCCCGTCTCTCCTCCTGGCCCCACACAAAACTGTGCAGTGTGGTGGCAGTGTGCACCGGAGGGAAGGCGGCTCACAAAACAAAGAGAACGACAAGAAGAGGAGGTCTTTATCTCTCCCGTCCCTTCCTCCCTCTCCCCACAACGGGCACCTTGTGTGAGGCAGGTGGGGCCAAGAGAGTTTGGAGAGAACCCTGACTGGCCCAAGGTCACCCGGCAGGCTTCAGGAGGAGGAGGAGGGGGAGCGGGGAATCAAGCCCGGCTCTCCAGATCAGAGTCCGCTGCTCTTAACACCACGCTGGCGGGGGGGGGGGACCACGCATCAGGGCCCCCACCCCGCCCCGCAACAACACATCCTTTCCCAAAGCCTCCGAGAGGAATGCAGCAGCAATGACTGGAGGGAAACAGCCCAGCTGCAAGGCCGGCCCAGAAGCCACCGGATGGAAGCGCAGCCCCAGGTGGTGCCGGTCACAGTGTTCCCTCTAAGCTGAGCTAGTGCGAGCTAGCTCACAGTTTTTTAGCCTCCGGCTCACACATTTTTGTCCTAGCTCAAGAAGGATGGCTCCAGTGCAAACTCATTGATGCAGTAGCCAAATTGCTCGCTCACAACCTTAAGGCAAATAGCTCACAAAGTAGAATTTTTGCTCACAAGATTCTCCAGCTTAGAGGGAACATTGGTGCCGGACACTGTGACTCTGCCCGCAAGAGGGTGGGGGGAGGCCCGGCCTCCTCTTGGGGGTCAGATGCTGAGCCTCTTTGGCCATTGCTTTGCCTTCTGTTTCGCCTTACATCCAGGGCCTCTCTTCTTCTCTCTCTTCCCTGGGCCGGGAGCTGCCGCAAGTTCACCTGTTTTGGAGTCAACCTGTTCACAATCAAGCATGTCGGGCTTGGCACCTGAGGGCCATCCTGCTGGGGCAGGTGGGCTGCCTCTGAGGGCTCAAAGCCCTAGCCTGCAAGGTACTCTTTTTCACAGCCCAGGAACCGGAAGGGCCATCTAGGGAAGCACAACCGAAGCCGGCCGGCCACACAACTGTGCTTCAGGGCAAGCTAGAGCCCCCGGCCCCTGTGGGATGTACGTGGAGAAAGCCGTGGGTCCACTGCACCAGTGGCAGCGTTCCCTCTAAGCTGTGGAATCTTGTGAGCAAAAATTCTACTTTGTGAGCTCCTGGCATCAAAGTTGTGAGCAAGCAATTTGGCCACTGCATACATTAGTTTGCTCTGGAGCCATCCTTCCTGAGCTGAGACAAAAATGTGTGAGCCAGAGGCTAAAAAACTGAGCTAGCTCACACTAACTCAGCTTAGAGGGAACACTGACCAGTGGTGGCACGGAAGACTCCAACGTTAGTGGAACAAAACATCTTTGGATCCAACCCAGTGAGTTTGGGGGCTGCGGGGAAAAGGCTTTGCCCCCGGCTCCACTGAAATGCAAGGTTGCCCCACCAACCCAGGCAACAGGCGTTCCAACCACACAATCAAGCTTCACCTTTTTCAGAACACTATCAAGGGTCTCTGGACGGCTGATGTCAAAGCAGATGAGAACAGCGTCCGAATCAGGGTAGGCGAGAGGGCGGACGTTATCGTAGTAGGTCGAGCCTGCAGGAGAGACAGAAGTCTTTAGAGGAAATAGGGCATCTTTAGCTCTGAACTCGGAATCCTTTCTAGATAGTACGCAGAAACAATCCAGACACAGAGAGGTACGCCTTGAGGAGCTGAAAACAGAATTCCAGACCTGGGAGAGACATTTTTGAAATCAGAATCTGGACATTCTCAATTTTTAGAATTGATTCAGCAGAACTAAACCTTTATTCAATAAACATTTGCTGGTATCAATGCGACTATTTTAACGCAGCCTGCCCAAGTTTTTGTTGGGTTGTTTTTAAGCTCGCAAACCTAACACCATCCTGAGTCTGGAAGGGCAAACCTAACACCACCACCACCACCAATGTTCCCTCTAAGCTGTGGAGTCTTGTGAGCAAAAATTCTTCTTTGTGAGCTACTGGCATTAAAGTTGTGAGCAAGCAATTTGACTAGTGCATAGATTAATTTGCTCTGGAGCCCTCCTTCCTGTACTAAGACAAAAATGTGTGAGCTAGAGGCTAAAAAACTGTGAGCTAGCTCACACTAACTCAGCTTAGAGGGAACACTGCCCCCCACCCCTCGGTGGTCTCCTTTTAGTCTCTTTTAGAAGCTGGCCCTGAGGGCAGGACTCTGTTACTTTGGCAACCAGCAAACCATCTCTGTTTGCTGAGGCAACATGACCAGGAAAGGGGGGGGGATTTGCAGGAGGGATTTTTTGGGGGGCTCTCTGGCCTTGTAGCCCACGGAGGCTGCTCCCCTTCCCCAGGCTCTGCTCCTGAACGTCCAGGAACGTCCCAGTCTGGAGTTGGCAGCCTACCCCCCCCCCGCATCCGATTCTGTGCTCCAAGGGCCCCCCCAAAGGCCCCCTCACTTCCGGACTGGCACTCTAGATGGGACCAGAGGAGGAGAGGCCCCCAAACATCGGGCGAGGGCACCTCCCCTCCCCTTTGCTGGGTTTGGCCAGCTCACACTTTGGACCAATGTTCCTTCTAAGCTGAGTTAGTGTGAGCTAGCTCACATTTTTTTAGCCTCTGGCTCACAGATTTTAGTCTTAGCTCAGGAAGGATGGTTCCAAAGCAAACTGATTTATGCAGCAGCCAAATCACCTGTTCACAACTTTAATGCTGGTAGCTCACAAAGCAGAATTTTTGCTCACAAGACTCCACAGCTTAGAGGGAACATTGCTTTGGACCCCTGCAAGTCTTGCTTGCGGGGCTCCAGACAAACCCTCCGGTTTAAAGAATGCCCTTGGCGTGGGGGCCGCCAGACTCGGTCAGTCACCCCACACCCCACTCCACAGCCACTCAAGTCACATCTGGAGTGCGCGCACGCATGTACACACACACACACCTCTTCCACAAGACTGGCTGCTGGGAAGGGCGGAAGGGGCCCTTCACCTTGCCAGGACCCAGAGAAGGAGTGTTTGGGGCTGTGCAGGAGGCAGAAGAGCTCCATGCCCAGCAGCAGCGGCAGCCTTTCCACTAACGTCTCCTCATTCTGCCCTCAACGTGAGTGGCAGGAGGCAGAAACAGTTTCCTCTGCCCAAAGCAGCCGCCCCCAACGGCCGTGGTCCTGCCAGGCGGCAGCCTTCCCCACGGGTGCCAGCTTCAGCCGCTCTCCGTTCTGGGAGACAGCACAGGTCTTGGGGTGGGGCTGGGGGCTCGCTCCAATTCAGAGAGTGGTAAGAGGTGGGTGCTCAGAAGTCCCCGGGAGCCCCCAGTCCAGGAGCCGGATGGAGAAACGGGGGCTCCCTCAAACGACAGAGCTGACTGGGACTCTGGATGCCGTCTGCCCCCCCCCTTTCCAAATTCCAACCCAGACCCCCACACGCTGCTTGCAAAGGGGGGGGGGAAGAGAGTTTGCTGTGCAGGTGTGCTGAGGGAGACAGCACAGAGAGCGCCTCAAGAAGACCCAGGTCCAGATCCGATCCCTGCCAAACAGGCCGCTGAGAGGGGCCTGGGTGGGGGCTAGAGATGTGAAGGCCCGGAAAAAACCCAGAAAAATTCAGAAAAAAACCTGGGTTTTCCCCGTTTTTTTCCTGAAGCCTTTTTGTTTTTTTCTGAAAAATTGGAAAAATTGAAAAAAGAAAATAAAATAAATTGATTATGGAACGTTTTATTTTAACATGATGAATAAAATATTTTAAGACAAGGTGTTCAAATATTTTCCGATCTAATTTCTGTGCACTGAGGACAAGCAAGTCCTAGGTTACAAACTGAACTCTCCAATGCAAGACCAAAGATGTATTTCTTCCTTTAGGAGGTGCGATTGTCAGAAGAAAATAAAAAAAGTTTAAGTTTTGTTCTTGCATGTGGGTGGGTATTCTGTTGGTTTTTTTTATTTATTTACTTGGGATTTATATCCCGCCCTACCCAAGCGGCCCAGGGTGGCGAACAAGCAGCAATGCCAGAATAAAATATAAAATACATTAAAACATTAAATACATACAACTAAAATGGTGTTCTACAGTTCACTAAATTTCCCCAAGATGCACAGTGTCCCTCACTGGCGGCCAGTGTTGTAGTGATGTGAGCGCCAGGAGTGATGTTCCTCTTAAGGGTGGCATCTACCCCCCTCCCAGCCAAGGTAGATGGTAGGGTCGAGTCACAATGGTGGTATAGTGACGGCGGCAGCTCCTACTCAAAAGCCTGGCGGAAGAGCTCCGTCTTGCAGGCCCTGCGGAACTGTACAAGGTCCCGCGGGGCCCGGATCTCCACCGGGAGCTTGTTCCACCAGGTAGGAGCCGCCACCAAAAACGCCCTGGCCTTGGTTAGGGCAAGCTTGATGTCTCGGGAGGCCGGAACCTCTAAGTGGTCGAGACTCCCCGATCGCAGCGCTCTTGGGGGAACATACGGGAAGAGGCGGTCCCTAAGGTAGGCTGGGGGTCAACAGTAGGAGGGCTTCTAGTGTCCTGGCCCCACTGGTGGACCTCCTGATGGCCCCTGGTATTTCTGGCCACTGTGTGACACAGAGAGTGTTGGACTGGGTGGGCCTTTGGCCTGATCCAGCACTAGCCTCTCTTATGTTCTTATGTTCAAGGGGAGACGCCAGCCACCAAGGTCTCTTGCAGCAAGTCCTCTTCTTGGCAGGAGCTCGAATAACAAGGGAACCTTCCCAGAGCAAGACAAAATACAACCCCCGATAATCAACAAAGGAAGTGAACAGAAAAACTAAACTGGAGAATCGCATCCTAAAAAGAGAGACGCGTGAGCAAAAGAAGCAGAAACTTGGATTTGAAGGCTCAGACAAATTGTTCTGAACAGATGCCAAAAAGGTAACAAAGAAGCTGCCAGGTAAAGCTCTCGGAGCCACCACAGGAAGGCCCTGCCTGTGCTCCGGGCGGGGGGGGTACCCGAGAAGGGCCTTCCAGAGAGTCTCGTAAAAGACTGGGGGAATCCACATGGCAGCTGGCGGGCCCCCGGCCTGTGCCAGAACCAAGACGACACTCTTAAGTACACCCCAGACACCGGGGCTCTTAAAGATGGGCGGCTGGCTCCTGGGAACGGGACTTCTCTCCCCCCAGCCCTGCTACCTACCGTCTAGTCTCCTGGCCCCACTGGTGGACCTCCTGATGGCCCCTGGTATTTCTGGCCACTGTGTGACACAGAGCGTTGGACTGGATGGGCCATTGGCCTGATCCAACATTGGCATCTCCTATGTTCTTATGACAACTGTCATCTTTGGCTCTCTCAGCAGCCCCATGAAGGAGTTAGGTGACCACGTTACGGATAGTGGGATTGGACCCCAGGCATTCGGCATATGACGTTCAGACTGCAGTGTTCCCTCTAAGCTGAGCGAGCGTGAGCCGGCTCACAGTTTTTTAGCCTCCTCCAGCTCACACATTTTTGTCTCAGCTCAGGGAGGAGGGCTCCAGAGCAAACCAATTTATGCAGCAGCCAAACCGCTCGCTCACAGCTTTAATGCCAGGAGCTCACAGAGTAGAATTTCTGCTCACAGGACTCCACACCTTAGAGGGAGCCTTGGTTCAGATATCCCAGAACTGAGACCTGGCAGCAAAAACAGACTTGAGAGCCAGCCCTAAATGCAGGGCTCCCTCTTCAGCCCCACACTTGAACCCCAGAGTGTCCCAAGTTCAGCAGCAAACTGTCCGGCTCTCCCCCAGCCTTCCAGACCACCCCCACCCCAGGTGAAAGAGAAAGGCCCAACACCCCACCCCCAACAAACAAAAGGGTATTTTTTGCATGAAAATGGCAAGCTATTGTCTTCGTGCTGAAACTTGACAAGGGAGAAGTAAAAGCAAAGGTTTTTTTCTCTTTTTTTAAAAAAGGTTTTTAAACTGCTGACTGAAAAGCTGTCAGGGAATGAAAGGAATTGCAATGGCAACTCTCCCAGAGGCCTTTAATCGGGAGCAGAAGCCTGGGAAACAGCCCCCGCGTGGTCTGAGACACGCAAGGCAGGGGGGGGAGGGGAGGCCAAAAGAGAACAACCCCCCCAATCCAACAGCAGCACAGGCCTGGCCGGTTCACCACAGACTAGCTGCCAGAACTCCCGGGAGTTGGCACCCAGCTGCCAGGGCACCCCCGGATATCTCCGTCTGTGTACTAGGCTGGTAAACTGGGCTAAAACAAATAAAGTGAAATTCAATGGGGATAAATGTAAAGTTCTGCATTTAGACAGGAAAAGTCAAATGCACAATTATAGGCTGGGGGAGGCTTGCCTTGGCAGTACTGTGTGCGAAAAGGATCTAGGGGACTTAGTAGGCCATACACTGAACATTGAGTCAGCAGTGTGATGCGGTAGCTAAAAAGGCAAATGCAGTTTTGGGCTGTATCAACAGAAGCGCAGTGTCCAGATCACGCAAAGTGATGGTACCACTTTGCTCTGCTCTGGTTAGACCTCACCTAGAGTGTTGTGTTCACTTTTGGGCACCACAATTTAAGAATGATATAGACAAGCTGCATTGTGTCCAGAGGAGGGCACCAAAGACGGCGAGGGGTCTGGAGACCAAGTCCTCTGAGGAAAGGCTGAAGGAGCTGGGTATGTTTAGCCTGGAG